AACTTTATCACCCATAAATGTAGTTCCATTTTTAATGGCATGTTAACAGTAAGTTTCCCAGCCAGATTTCCATCACTGCCTGGAAGAAGAGAAGTTAGATCTTTTAACTAACCCTGTGGACTTTATATAAACACCACGCCCATGTAAACCGACAAGTGCGGGTCAATTTTTTTCAGTCTTCTTTAATGTGTCTGATCTGGTGGTTTCCTTCACACCAGTGTGAAAGGTTATTGAATAGGATGAACTATTGCTCTGTTTTTGTCATTTATTTTAAAAGATATTCACAGTCCTTAGTTTATGACTAAGGACTACATTAATTGACAAATCGTGCCAAACTTCACTACAACTGCCATAAATTAGGCAAAATATCGTATCAAGACTCGAAATAAGATCCGATCTTATCAGCTCGGGATCAGAGGCCTAAAATGCTGATTGGGACATCCTTAGTTTTTGATATTACATTTTTCAAACTATGCTGACTTGCTTAGGCAAGGCAAGGCAAAGCAAAAGGCAAGGCAAGGCAAGGCAAGGCAAATGTATTTGTATAGCACAATTCAGTACAAAGACATAGCAAAGTGCTTTACATGATTGAAATATAAGAAAAAACCCAGAATCAAAGCAATTAGGAAAAAATATTAATAAAATAAAACATTTAGAAACAAAAGAATATTAAAAACAGTTGGACTAAAGAAAATAAAAAAGTTGAACTAATGATGTTTCAGTTGAACTGTTTAACTAGAACAGTCAAAGGCAATCCTAAACAAGTGTGTTTTTAGTCTTGATTTAAAGGAACTCAGGCTTTCCGCACTTTTACAGTTTTCTGGAAGTTTTTTCCAGATAAGTGGAGCATAGGAACTAAATGCTGCTTCTCCATGTTTAGTTCTGGTTCTAGGTATGCAGAGCAGGCTGGAGCCAGAAGACCTGAGTGGTCTGGAGGGTTGATACACTGATAGCAAGTCTGTGATGTATTTAGGTGCTAAGCCATTCAGAGATTTCATAGACTAACAGAAGTATTTTAAAGTCTATTCTCTGAGATACAGGGAGCCAGTGGAAGGACTTTAGAACTGGGGTGATGTGCTCTACTTTCTTAGCCTTAGTCCTAAGTCCAAAGATATGTATACTTAGGGGTCTGTTGGTCCAGACCAGAGTTTACTGGTTTAAATACATCCAAAAATGAATAGTTGATAGTTGTGTCGGCTCCAGATTCTACCTTTTTTAAGCTCCTCCAGAGGTTCCGGTGGCCCTTTGAATTGTTTTTAATAGGCAGCCTATTAGTTTTGATGAATGGCCACGAACGGGTAGGATCACAGAATCAAGCGCATTACATTCCAGGGTTACGGCTGTATTTATTTACTTTGGTTTACCTCTGCCAGCGAACAGACCCAAGTTTTCCCCTCGCAGTCTGCTGCACCTGTGTCACAATATTGATGTGATCCGTGTCGACTTGGTGCATCCCCTGGTTTGTCACTGAGTCAAGGGGCTGGACTACAGCGTCACAGGTGCGACGGTAAGAAAGGTCAAAAGCTGGGAGACAGATGGCTTACGCGCACACACACCGACATAAACACCCTCCCACACACTTTTAACTCTCCCAAAGGGACAGGGATCCATTGTGCAGCTCAGATGGGCATCGCTGTCACTCACGCATGGACACACAAACGCACACACACAGCCAGATGTCTAGTAAACCATTACCAGAGTGTTCTTTTTGTGCAACTTCATTACAACTATCATTAAAGATTAATAGCTGCAGAGGAAAGCATGCTGAAAATAATGAATACATAGATAAGAAGGAATAGCAATTGAGTTATAAATAAAACAATCTCTGTTAAATGGGAGAATAAAGGCTTGTTGGATCAAATATAAACTCAAGTTTCACTTCTTACTGTTTTTTTTTTTAATCTTTGGTTTGATATTAAATAAAGCATATGACGCATTTTGGTTTGATAGCTTGAAAAGCCTCCTTGTTTTTCATTTTACAAAAGTGTTGTGACAAATCAGACGTACCACATGGAGAAGCTGAATCAGAGTAGCCTTGCTTTGCAAATAAATCTCTTATTGGACTATATTAAACCAGGGTTACATTCAGTGTCAATGCTAAAGGTTGCATTGTAACAACATCTTCTGAACATGCCTTTAACTTATGTTAATGCTTTCTATTTGATTGCATAAAATGCTTGAAAAGTAATTTTCCCGATCTTGTTTAGACATGACATGCAGGTAATGGATTTTCCTAACCTTGTGTGGATATTTTAGAAAACTCTACCTTTCCTGCCTTGGAAGGGATCTCTACTGCCGATCAGTTCAAGAGCACAGAGTGGAGCGGGTTATCGAACAGTACAGAACCCACACTGGAGAACATCTGGATGTTGAAGCAAGCTTTTGTCCTTATACTGCATAATATCTGATTTTTATCAAAGCTTTGGCTTTCATACTTTTTGCCAGTTTTAATTAAAAATCATTCAATTATATATTTTTTTTAATTAAGGCCTTAATTGGCATTAAAGTTCATTAAATGTGATTATCTTGGCATATTAAATTCTTTATTTAAAGAAAATAAAAGATTTATAAAGACAATTTTTTATAAAGACAATTTTTTCAGATTTATTTATTATATTGCGATATATTTGTGCAGAACGGCTTGCAGTTGATCGTAAAGTCGTATGTTCGGAAAAGAAGCTTGAGGCGGAGAAAAATCTAGAAATTTAGAAAATGCAAATTTCAACAGAAGTGGCTGGAAAACGAGGAATTGGGGACATGGCTGTAACCTGGCGACAGTAAAGAGGATGAAGGATTTTGCTGTGTTATAAGCATTAAATAAATCTCTCTTTCTGTCTTCAACAATCAAACTTTTTGATTTTATATTACAAAGTTACAGTCTCACCGTGTGAGGGTGGAGGCAATCTTGGTGATTAAACCCAGAAATATTTAAAAGAAATATTTATTTTGTTTCAGAAAAACTAAAAACACTTACACATTTGCTGTGAACATGAACTGTGATGAAAAGACTTATGAATAATGAAAAAAGGATTACCTTTATTTTAACGAAACTGCTCATATTTTTGTCTAAATACATGTATTAGCTGCTGATAAATCTAAATTCGAGTTCTATAACAGGGTTATTGGTGGTGCAGACGCTATGCACTAGATGTTGCAAATCACAAGTTTCTGATCGCTGTATGAGAATCCAACCTGTTTCCAAAAAAAGAAACTGATGGTGGCACCATCATTAACTTTGTCCCTTTTGCCGATTCATACAGTTGCTTTTTTTGGTAATTTCAACTATGAAATTTTGCCGTGTGCAATTATGCAGTGGAGAATGTATGGCTTTTTCTTTTTTCTCACATCTTTACCTGTGCTGAGTTTTCAAAACACAAATGCCTGAAGCTCATTCTTTGCTCTAGGTCGCCTTTTAAAGGAGGCAGAAATTAGCTTCAATTACAGATTATAAAAATAATGAAATCATACTCAATTGGGGGGGGGGTTGACTGAAACTAAACTTTTCTTTGTCATCTTGGTTTATTTTTTATTTCGCAGGCCTTTGTTCCTTAGCTTTGTTAGCCCTACTAGCTGTTAGCTAAGCCAATTAGAGGATGTAGACATGATGTATCGTACATCTGAAACCTTGAATCCGCTGCCAAGGTTTCAAATCCGGCATGTCTCATGGCAGACCGGCATGAACATTTTAAAAGGATATAACAGCTACTTTTACCCACTCCAAATTAGCCTTACATGTATCTACTGATGGCATCCTTGACCGTTTGTGACGCTAACTTAATGTCTCCAACGGATCTTCATTAGACGAAATGACCACCGTCTGCGTGGGCTTAGATCTCTGTAGCAGCACGAATGAACCACTGAAATGCCCCAGTAGGAAAACATAGGTTCTTTATTAGAACCACCTCTACCAGAGCCTCTCTTCGTTCAGTTTATTATATTGTCACTAATCAGTGGATTGGAATTTTCTTTGTCTTCATGGCCACTGGTTGATCTGAAAGTCTTCTAGTCTACAGGCGACTTCTTGGTGCATCGCAGTAATTGAATAAATTTTTTTTGCCATGGTATGTGCATAGGAGCAATTCTTGTTTATAAGAAGCGAGCCAAAGGCCTGGTTTGCTGACATCACCACCAACATGCAGAGTTACCAAAAGCCGCTTCAGCATGTTTGCTTGCTGACATCAGCACTTAGCTTAGAGCCTGCCTGCATCTTGGCGCAGCTTGGCATGGCCGCAGTCTTGATGTAATTATATTAGGTAGATCAATAAACTTAAAACAAGGGATTGTCCCAGTTTGTTGCAGCCTCTAATTGATTGACCATCCCATGAATTCTCAAGAGTTATAAATAGATCTGGGAGACAATGATGGATGGTTTATCTCTGCAGCTATGGATCAGAGGCAAAGCAGGCCTCTTCTATCAGTCACCACCTTTTTACCCCCCTTCCCATGCTGCCTCCCCTTGCTCACTAACTATTACCATCTAGGGTATTCATGCCACACGGCCAGCAGCCTGGAATGTGTGTGCGTTCAATGTGTATTTGCAGATGCCTGCATTGTTTTCCGCTGTCTGATGGTAAGCTAGTATCTTATGGAGTGATTGTGTGTGAAATACTTGGGCAGTGTACCATAATACCAGTTGGTCTTTGTGGGAGAGCTTAGGTGTGTGGGTGTTAAGTGTCAAAGGTGATTAGTGTGCAGAGGCGTTTGTGTGTGTGTGTGTGTGCGCGCAGGCGTCAGACTCTCATCGTTGTGCAACACACCGAGCATGGAGGCATCTGACCCTCAATAATAAATGTGGCTGCAGTGAATATTTAATGAGAGGGGGGCTGTAGATACACGCACATTCTCACAGAGGAGGTGGGGAAATTAAAATTGAGTATCCGCCATGTCTGCTTCACTTTTAGGCCAAGGCTTTGGGGAAATGTTCTGAGTGTTTGGGGAGGTGCAGGGAATTTCACCTTAGTTCCTGCTGCCTCCTCACTCTGCTCTCTGTCTATCCGCAGGGCTCTCAGGATAGTGCTGGCGGTCAGGAGGGACTCGTACCCCCACCCTTCTCCGCTTTCCCGCCTCCCCCGCCTCCGCCTCCTCAGAACGGCCTGGCTTTGGATTACGGGGGCAGCCTGTATGCAGCAGGTGCCGTGCAGGGCCCAGTGGAAGCCGTTGGAGCAGGGAACAGCGCAACCAACGCCGCCAACAGCCTCAGCGGCCAGGTGAGCGCCAGCAATGACGTCAGGTTTTTATCGCAGGTTAATCAGAGCAAATATTCCAATAAGCTTATATTAATGTGCAGCATCATGAAATTATAGGTTGGAAATGCAGCAATTGGTCAGAGATCAGAATCATCCAGTGTCTTTTTTTTTTTTTTGGCTCTCATCTCTGATCAGCAAGAAAAACACCAAAAATGAATTGCAACAAACTTTAAATTTTCACAACGTTTGGGGGGAAATGGGGGTAATGGGGATAATCTTTTAATACCCTAATTTTCTGATGGATTCAATAGCACTATGTACAAAACGTTTTTTTTATTTTTTTAATATGATTTTAGTGGGAATCTAGGCATGCAAAGCTGGAATATCTGGTTAATCAACATATTGTTGAAGTGCACTGCTCCAGGGCTGATTGTTTTAAAATCAACTACAGCACTAAGCAAAAGTTTAATGCGATTAAATCAGTTGGATGATATCTTACAGTTAATTTTTGGCTTATTTCGATTCGTTTATCACTGAGATTAATGGTTTGGATTAATGTGAAGCTACACAAGATGGTTTTATGTAACTTTAATGTCTAACTGGAAAGATGAAGAGGATTCGGTCCTCGTACTTTTATATTAATGCTGGGAATACTGGTTCATAAAATAGAACAATCATGACTGCAAACATGTTGATATGCTGTAGATATATCATTTAAAATGATATATATTAAAAGTAAATTAAGTAAGTTTAATTTCAAATAAATATATTCAGGATATTCTTTGTTTATGGAAATAAAGGACTGCAAAAGACATACATAGTTGCGAGTTAAAATATTTTTGCAAGCAACTGAATTGTAGACGTCTATTGAAGATAGCTGGCTTTACATAATGGCATTTCTCTTTTACTTTTCTTCCTTTTAAAAGAACATGCTCTCTGGTCTGGGTTTTGTGTACTTATCTTGAATTATTGCAATGCGGATAATAGATCAGCCAAATAAATCTGCACTTCCACTGCAGTGACTCTAACAAGTCTGCTTTCTACTTCTGCCTGATCTACTCTGTTTCTATTTTCTTAAGCAGCTTGTATCCGGGGGTATTTCTCTTAGAAACCAATGGTGGATCAGTCCGATAAATCCAACTATGATTTTAATCAGTCTATCACCTCTACAGAGAGACTAAAGCGTCTTTTAAACCTATGTTCGAGATCTGTTTCTATTTAGTTTCTCTAAACCTTTGACTTGATAATTCCTTATTCCTAATCTTTGCTCCTTATAAGCTGTGTTTTCAAAGGAGGAGTAACTGTAAACTCAGACTTTACTTAGTTAAAAAAAGGAAAGATAAAGTTAGCACTAGGGATATAAACAAATAATCAGCTTATGATTAATCTTCGATTAATTATTGATTGGATTCAATTTTTGGTAAACTGGTTTAACTGATAACGTCGGCTTTGAAGGAATTTCTTTCAGTGCTGTAATGCTACCACCATCCGCTAGCTGGCGCTGCTGTTTATTTATACACTATTACACTCTCTAACGGCGACAAGGATGCAGAATAAACTTTAAGGATTAACACTTGATAAACTCCTTAATATTTCATCTATATAGCGCCCATTTAAAGGCGCTGCTAGCAGCACAAAGAGTATCCTAGCATTGATTGCTGGATTACTCTTAAAACATCATAATTATCCTCTACTTTATTAAAACCAAGTGGCAAACGGTCTGACAGCGTGTCAGGGCGACATACCCTGCCTTTAAAATATGGATTGACATTTCTGTACATTAGAGATGTATTTTAGTCACCTTTTATTCAGTAACCCAGGTTCCTGTTTTGTTATATCATCTTAATGTATCTAGTATGATAATGTGTAAGAAAAACATTTTTTGTTGATTTAGTCAGTATTTAATACAAGCAGCACAATTAATTGTTAAACTAGAATGATATACTTTAGTTTTTTCTAATTCAGTGTATTGTCAGATATATATAAATATTGGCCCTGATGTTAATGGAAAGAGCCTCTTGCTTCAAGAGAATACTGAGGGCTTTTTTTTAAAAGGGGAGCTTAATAATTCATAATTTGTTGATTGATAAGATCTATTTTAGATGAATTCATTAATGGATAACGCTCTGACCAATGAGCGCAACTGACTGTGGCGTAGTAAGCGCGACAGCAAGCTGTTGAGGGGAGTGTAAACAAGCAGCATGTGAAACGGCTGTCAGTAAAACAGCGAATGCGTCCTTAAAAATTAATGAGCGTAGAGGGTCTTGCTGCTCACGTTTCAACAAAAACCCGAAGTCTAATCCTTCCAAAACTGATTCCAAAGCTGGGTCAAAATAGAACTGTTCAATTGTTGTTGCCATCTTCCTTGTTGCGCTTTCGCCAGCGTCGCACAGCTTTGTCGTTACGCCCTCAAAACCCCATCCACTTTGCATCAAAAAATTCAAAACACATCTCTGCGTTGTGATTGGTCCGCCAGTTCTAGGGCCTGGGGTATTGATAGAGGTTAGACCACTCGCAGGCAAAAATGATTTTGGCCGCTGGCCAGTTTACTAGGCTAGTCCGACGCCTCAGTGACCCTGAAAATAAATGATTTTAAGTCTTCCTTCCTCAGTACCACTGTAGACATTGAAGGGGTTTGTTATTGGCTCAGCCTGATTTAGATATGAGACGTTCACTGTTCAGAAGAATGTAGGATTTTTCTGTTTCCGACTGACTAACCCAACAGCAGTGAAAAGTTTTTGTCTGGTTTATCGATGGCAGGTCTTCAAAGTGAACGCTTCCTCAGGTACACTTCACTTATTTTCCAAAGTGAACCATTATTCTACCTTCATGGAGGTTTTCCTTGTTTCTTAACCCTGCCGACTTTGATGGGGGACTGTTTGGACCATAGCCACACATCTTTTGTCTGTTTTGTTTTTTTCTGTAGGGCAGTATTATGAGCTCTGATCACAATTTTTTTAAAGTTTTTTTTGCAAAGAGAATTTAAGTTTCCTGGCGCTGCCATAAAAGATAAAATCTGATTAAAGAGCTTTCTCTTTCTCGGTGGGACCTTCACTGGACAAAAGGGGATCGGTTTATGGATCTGCGGAGCCTGGTCACCATCTTCACCCTGAGCTCCTGTTCGGCCATTTCTTTGCTGCCCTAATTATCTTGTGATCTGAAAGTTGGGGGTTTGAATTCAACCTTTTGTTGCCATGTGTTGATGTGCCGCTGGACAAGGTTCTTATCCCCAAGTCGCTTACCTTGCAGTGCGACGTATGAATGTGTGCAAACAGCAGTGATTAGAGCCCAGTGCCATCGTTTGGTTTGGTAGAAGGTTGAGGCAATATTCCAGAATCACTCCTGTGTCTTCGTGTCGCCTCCAAGGACCCTGAGTTTCCTCTTTTCATCTAATGGAGGCTTCTAGTTCTAATATTATCCCACTTTTTAAATTGCTCTGTCAAACAATAGAAGTACATGGAGATATAGATTTAAAGGCATCATCTCCGCTAACAAATTTGAGAATCATTTAGAGGACTATTTGGATAATTACCACCTATTGTTAATGATTAGTTGGTATATTCAGGTTTCTATAGTGACAACAGCTACCTGTAACTGACGGCAATCAGTTTAATAACCTGCTTTATGTCTTATTTTGGCTCTGACCCTGCAGTCTGATGGCTCCGCTCAGATTGACGGGCAGTCTGGAGTTGGTTCAGGTGGAGGGGGTGGCGGCGGGGGCCCTGGGGACGATTCAGACGCCAAAGGGACGCCCAAACGTCTCCATGTATCTAACATCCCCTTCCGATTTCGGGACCCAGACCTACGGCAGATGTTTGGCGTAAGTAGGCAAATTGTTTAATCTCTCTGCCTTTTTGAATTCACAGCGTCTCTTTGCTTGAATTGTCTCTAAAATGTTGTGATGAGAAAAGAGCGGGGTGGAGTCGCTGTGGGAGAACCCGTACTGGCTCGGTGCCAGCTCATCCTGGTTGAATGCTGCTGACTCCCTGTGGTGAGCATGTGACATTGGTGCTTCTCCTGTCTCCTAATTTCTCTGCATCGTCTCTTTGGTTGCAGCAATTTGGCAAAATCCTTGACGTTGAGATCATTTTCAACGAGAGGGGCTCCAAGGTAGGACTGTGGAAAGAAATCCTTCAGAATTATTTATTTTATATTTTTAGTACCTGATGGGATCTAAACAGTATTTTTTTTTAAACCTCTGATCCTCACAGGGCTTCGGTTTTGTTACGTTTGAGTCCAGCGCAGATGCGGAGCGGGCCAGGGAGAAGCTCCATGGCACGTTGGTGGAAGGACGTAAAATCGAGGTGAGTCTCCAGCCCTCTAGAGCAGTGTCCATTCTGTCCTTAGTCCTTCCTCCATTCCTAGCAGTGGCAAATGAGAACCAATATGGTGGTTTCTACCCCAGAGAAGGTTTCCACGTTGCTGTTCTGTGACCCCTCCCCCTCCCTCTGGCTTCACTATAGCATGGTGCAGCGGTGCCGCACGCTCTTTCATGGCGGCACTTCTTGCCGTTTTTTTTGTCGTTGATGATGTCGGTGTTGTGGGCTCTCCATTGCACCTTGATCTTTGGGGCTGTGTGGTTTGCAAAGCTTGCTGGGTGGAGTGGCTACACAACAGGCATGGCTGGTGAGACGTCACTACGACTAGATCGCTGGCGATTTCTGCTGCTTCTGTCACAGCATGTAGGATCTGGTTTGCGTTTTCGTTCATTATTTTCCCACATTTCCCTGCATCTTCTCCATTCACATCATCACTTCTTCCATGATCATAATGAGTGGCCGCTTTTTTATTTTATTTTTTTTTGTTTATGACTGGAAGAGAGAAGCGTTTGAACAGAAAAGTGCCTGCTGGTGTCGCATGGTTGGAACATACAGTGTCTTGTTAAAGTGTTTATACTTTATTCTTGGTAACTTTTCACTTTACAACCAAAAACTGAAACATTCAATTAAAGCTTTACTATGAAGCAGGGGGAAATAGCATATATTTGCAAAGCAGAGAGAAACACATCAGGAATATTGATAACAAATCTGAGTTTGCATTTGTATCCTGCATACCATAGCGTTCAGGCCAAATAGTTCACTTTTGCTCTCATCAGCTAAGGGCACCTTCCTCCACATATTTGCTGTGTCCCTGGATGAGTCAAGACTTCCTACGTTGATTATTATTGGTTTCCAGCTGTCCCCTCTTGCTACTCTACCCATAAGATCTGCAGATGGAGGCTACATCAGTGTTTGAGTTCTAGATCTAAGCAGCTCCTCCAAAGTCACTGTGTGTCTCTGGGCTGCTTCTTTTACTATGACTCTCCCTGTCCAGTTTAAATGGGCAGCCATGACGGACTGAATGAAACTTTGTGAGACATTTAAAAAAAAAAAAAAAAAAGAAAAAAACCCTCTAAAGCTTTAACAGAACAGCTGAATTGATACTGAGATTAATTTTCGCACAGGGCGACGTTATTTAGTGCTTTAATTAAAAAATAATCGATTAACTCCGAAGGGAAATTAAATTTAGTTATATGTGATAGTATTTGGGGTTCTTCAAAGAGTTGTTGTAGATGCTGACGGCTGCAGGCAGGAAGTCTTAGCTGACTTCTGAAGGGATTTGGTTGAACTATTTTTGGGTGGTTTTAGAGTAAGGGATTAAATACAGATTCACCTCACACTTTGCTGGTTTTATTTTCCTTTAATTTAGTTTTAAAACAGCTTTATTGTCCAATTATGCCCCATTTTGTTTCTGGTTTTTCACAGAGTCGTGTTAAACCAGTGAGGTCTTGATATCACAACTTGACAAAATGTGATAAAGTTTATAGGGGTGTGATCACTTCTGGGAGGTACTGTAAGGTTGGAGGTAGCTTTCGTTTAAAATTATGTGACTTCTATGCGGTTGCAGTTTACGTGTTTTGTGTGTTGAAAAGACATGCATGGTGGGGGGGCACTTTGTAGGGATGGGAATGAGGAAACAACCTGCTGAGAATTGTGGGGATATTTTTTTATTTATTTACAGAAATACTAAAATACTAAATGCAAGATGGATGAGTAAATAAAAAAATTAAAAAAAGAATAAGCTTACCATTTACACACACTTTGCTTGACAACAAACACCAGATCTCATAGTGCATTTTGTTGTGATATTTTTTTTAATTTGTCAGCATGAGCTCAGGTTTCAGTTGCAAATGGCCTCGGAGAGGAAACACGCGCCATGCTTTCTGCCATTTGCTCCAGCTGTTGATATTAAATCAGATCATGTTTTTATTTTTTATTTTACTGACTGCTGAGGCTCTTGTGCATGGTCTTTGAATGTCCTGCATTCTTCTGTGTCTGTGTCTTCTTAGTGCAGAATGACTAAAAATAAATGGAGAGGGTGGAGAAAGAAGTGAAGCTAAGGCCATAGACAGCTGTTTACTTTTTAAATTTGTTTTTCTTCCATCTCTTTCCACTCTCTTTGGTCCAGCCTGTCCGGCTGTCTGTCTCTGTGCTCGTGTCCTTATGTCCACCTTCCTCTCCCACGTCTTTGTTCATTTTCCTGTCTTGACATTTAGTAAGAGGCTAAAACACCTTTTAAAAACAGATTAAATCTCTGATATCTTATTTGATCATTGTATGGTGTCCCCTGAGTTTCATCTCCTTCTATTTCTTTAAACTTAACGATCTGCCTTCCTAGTGGGTTATAGAGGCTAGGTTGTTGGCTGATACTTCTGGGGGACTGTTGACATGTGACCTCTGACATCACTTCCTTTCTACCACAGGGTGGGGGTTGCTTTCATTGCCTCGTTTTGTTCGTTCCTCCCCCCTCCTATATTATTTGTTTTGTGTTCTCTTCTTTTTTTTTTTAGTTCATCATTTTGTTTCTTACACATATTTTCTCGATTTCCCTGATGATTTTTGTATGTTGTTGTTGTTGTTGTTGTCAGTCTCCACGGTAACTGCTCGCGTGTCCTCACGCCGTTCCCCCGACCACGGTAAGTTGTGTACACATGGCATCATCTTTGAATGACCCCCTCCCCACCCCCCAACCCCATGCGCCCCCCCCAACGAAATAAAATGCACCCAAATGAAGGAGTCCCTTCCTGCAGGGAGCTTGACTGATTGATTGGTGGACAGAACCTGATTGGCTAATCCTGTGATTGATTGGGGAGGTGGTGAATGAAACTGTTAGGAGATTAGCCATTGACCGCATGGCATTACAATAAGGCCACTTGTGTAACTGAATGTGCCGCATCTATCTGCAAGTGCAACAACTTCGACTACCACTTCTTAATGCATTCATTACAATCACCTCTCTAACTGCATTCAAAGCATTGGATTCGTGAGCTGTATCCTGCATGGTTTACTCTCTTTCTGGTCATCTGTATGACGACATGTAGAACTATGTCATCTCTCTGTGTCATGTGTCAGCCAATAGCTGCATTCTTGCACCTTTTTAGCGGGAGAGCATGCCAAAGCATGAGTGCCTATGTTAGCTCTACTGGAGAGGGGATAACAGCCGTCTGTAAATCATGGCGTGCCGTAGTGCTCGATTATCACTTCCTGTACCAGTGCTCAGACTGTTGTCGAATTGCAGGTTTGCAGCCTTAATGTTTCAATCAGAGCCGTGCTGTGGATGAGTAGCTTTTGTACCCAAATGGGGATGATTTTTGTACAGCAAAGCTGAAACAAAAAAATAAATAAATAATGAAATCAAACAATTTCAGGCAAACCTATAAATGAAAACAGCTTTGCCCTGTTCTGATTTCTGTGAGGAGGTGCCCTTGATTTACTCTTTGATCAGTTTGGTTCTGGATGGTGTGTGTCGCTGGTTGTGTGTTAGAAGGTGTTTTCTGGTGTGTGACACTGATCTGAAAAGTCCGGCAGTGTTCCACAGCAATGGTTTGACAGTTTTCTTTTTTTCTTTTTACTTTTTTTAAGTTAAACTCATTTTTTTCTTTTTAATTTGTGATAATATATTTGCATCCCCCATCCTCTGTCTTTTCTCTGGCCTGTCCTTTCTCTTTTCTGTGTCTGTTTTTGCACCAATCATCATCTCGCCCATCATGGCTCATGTTCATATAGACTGGTTGTAGTTAAACAATCAGATATGTGCGCTATATGTTGATTGCATCTTAGTTGGTTTGTTGGAAGACCTGCACATTTGAATGGAACGGACATGTTCTCTTTTCTCCACCTCATGTCTGTTTTTCTGTCATGTGGACTGGCATCTCCCCCTGCATCCCTCTCTCTTTTCTTCCTCCGTTCACTCTCCCTCCTCCTCCTTCTGTACGACTTGTTCTTGATTGGGAGAAAATCCAACCTTTTTTTCTTTTCTGTTTTTGATTGGTCTATTTGCTGCATCTGATGCTTGCTGATTGGTTAGTTTTCTCACTTCTGATATTGTGATGCGCTCCTGGTTGGCTGTCTGTTATTTGTGTATAAACTATTTGATTGTCCTTCTTTTTTGTTTGTTTTTTAATGATTTATTTCATTTTTTTTGCACTGTAACTGATGAATCTGCTGCTTAATTCACCTTCTTTGTTCCCTCCTTTTTTACCAGCAATATAATGGTCTTGGATTTCTTTTTGAATGCCTTTTGCTCTGTAATATGTTTTCATTTCTATGTTTTATGTGCAAATTGTTGCAATGTTTGTGTGCAAAACAGGCTGATAACGTTGGGATCCTTATTTTCAGTCTATTTCTTCTTAAAAAAGAAGTGCATGCATCCGATACCATCGCTGCTCATAAACCAAATTAACACCATTTTAAGGATTAAAATCAGGCATTAAAGATTTAATGGCGCCTCACATGAAAGCAGAAGTTTTCTGTGAATGCTAATTTTTGTAATGAGACTCTTAAGAACATTAATTTCTGTTAAAACATGTGTTTTCTGAACTTTGCTTCTGTCTCTACTAAAGGTAAAGGGTAAACTGGCTCCTAAACCTTTTGTTTAACTTTCAGGTTAATAATGCCACAGCCAGAGTGATGACAAACAAGAAAATGACCACACCGTACTCTAATGGAGAGGGACTTGCAGCCCTACCATATGGTAATGAATTTTTCTCAGATACACTTCATTGGTAAAGCCTCTCTTTTGTTGAACCATTTGAATAATAAATGCTTTTTTTTTAGAATAGAATCTACTGCACAAAAAGAAGCTTGTAATATTTTCTCCTTCACAGAACCAGGTTTCTAGATTTCTTACTGAAATCTTACTAGTAATATTGTCCAAAATACAGAAGAGAGGAATTATTGCATGGAGTACTCAGATGATTCTCCGGGGATACATTCCCCTGCTTCAGTCTTCCTCAGCAAATAGTTTCTGGGTGACTGAACAGAGAAAGAGGAGTTCAAAAGCCTAGGGTTAGGAAAGCTGCCCGGTACACAGAGGCTCCACTATGGAGCCTGTTCTCTAGGGATTGCTGGCCTGGGGATCCCTCTCTGGATCCAGCAGGACCAAGCCCAAACAATTGACATAAGGCCATCTCTCAGTGGGCCCAACACTTGCAGTGCAAAGAGGATTTGACAGTGGAGATCACATTGACCTGATACAAGGATACTCGAATTGGCTCTAGGGTCATGTAGTTACCTTGCTAGGGGAAAGGAGCCCCTGCTTGTGTGGGAGGTCAAGGTTGAGAGAAACCAGCTACAAAGGGTCTGGATCTCGATGCACATCTTGGGCTCTGGAAGCCAGCTCCTTAAGAGTGGTTGCACTCTCTTTAGGGGCTCTACCACAGTTGAATTCCGCCCTCAAGCACAATTGAGGTGTCCGACTGCTGTTTTGGTTTATGGGCCAAATAGCAGGGAATACTTGGCCTTCTTGGCGTCCCTAGTGCCTCTCTTGTGGACTCTATTGTTGTGCAATTTTACCAGCAGATTATGAATATGTTAAATAGCTAGAATTGGGTGTTATAGTTAATTAATAGGTTATTCTAATCAATGTAGAAAACAGTTAATGATTATTAGTTTAATCATTATAACTCAAACCTGCCTACTTACGGAAGCTTTAGTCTTCTTCCTAAGGTTGGACTTATGGACCGGCAGTTAAAATCCAGTTGTCTTTCCTTGTCTTATCAACAAAAGGAAACTGTGTCTTGTTTCCTCAAGTGTTAACCAAACAGGGGATGGATCTGGCTCTGAGCAATAAATTGTTCACTGTCATAAATAATCACAGACAGCGACAGTTAAAATGATCAGTATCTCTATTGCTTAATCATCCCTATTCCAGTGTTATTGTATCTTGATAACTATGCAACACTACAAAGAACTGAAAATCAGCACAGGTTAATTGAAAGGCTAATCTCTTACGAATGTTACAGTTTTAAAGCTTGGTGTTTTAATGCATTTAGGGTGTACGTTAACTTAGCAGCAGGTAAGTGTAAAGAACATCTGATACAGTGATCTTAAATGCATCAGATGAGATCAGGACACCAGGCCATGAGGTGGGGCAGAGTCAATACAAAGGGCTATAAAACTTGGTCCTATGATGGTCGCCCCACGTACATGTGTCGCCGAAGATGAGGTAGCCTGAAGCTAACAATGCTAGCCAATCCAACTCTAGCACCCTGACTCTCCAGACAAAGGGAAAACAGACAAAACCACACACAGTGAAATTAAGAACCTGGGTAAGTATCAGATAAACAAAAGGAAGGAAATGGTTTTACCATGTGATGGTCCAGTGGAAAGGAAGGAACGATGTCTGGTTTCAGTTCAGCTCAGAAACCCAGTCCGCTCGGTCCTCAGGCAGGACCGAGTGGAATCTCTAGAGAGACTTAAATTAATTTGTTCCAAGAAAACAGAGGGTGGTCTTCAGGGCTTAATTTGTTTGAGCACTTCCTGGAGCTCCTAGAAGACGTCTCCTTGGAGTGGCAGCTGACAGCTTCATAGTGGCAGCACAGACAGGCAGCTGCACAGCTTCAAAACAGCAGCGGAACCTGCAGGGCATGGTTCAACGGCTTCACAGTGGAATCCCAGTAACCGTCGTCTAGGGCTATTCCGTGGGCGGCAAACAAGGGTTGACCAAGCCAAAATTCGGATAGTTTATCTCATCTGCTTCAGAGCTGGTGGGATCGCGATGAAAAGACACTACGTTGAGTTCTCTCTGAATTGTAGGCGGAAAGCAGCCTGCTTCGCCAGCAAACACAGACTCTCCTCTGGAGGGGGGGGGGCATATAACGTGACTTCAGCTGAAGACTGGTGTATCTCACCTCACAGATCTGGAGATCAGAGGGCAAAGAGGACAGGATAAGTTTGCAGCATTGTTTTAAAGTCACATGACGTCAAGGGACTCTTAGTTCACTTATATAATTTGAAATTTGATTTTCAACACCATAAGTCTGCTTGGGGACTCACCAGGTTATGATTATGGGTTGACATTGGAATTCTATGCAGGAGTTAGCCCTGCAACCAGTATCCTTGGTTCAAACCCCAGCTCTGGCTTTCATTGTTGTTGTGTCCTTAGGCAAGACTACTGTCTACTGATGGTGGCGCCCGTGTATAGCAGCCTCGCTTCTGTCTGTAGCCCCACCCTACAATGTAGCGCACCACCATCAGTGTGTGAGGGAATGGGTGACTGAATGTTTATATGCTTTGGTCAAGTATCCTGACTTGTTAACCATCAAATGGGGGACCTCACTAAAACCTTGGACTGTCCATTAAAGCTAGCATATTCATTACCAATTGGTGTCTTCTTACATTCTTCTCTCTTCACTTGAGGGAAAAGAGACACGCTGTCCACTCATCATAACCTAGTTATTTGAATCTGCTGTCAGTGAATAAAGCTGGACAGACGGGCCCAACAGCGCCATGAGGGTCTGCTGGAATCATATGGCGGAGCCCTCAAACAGGAACATATTCAACTCCCACCTCTTTGAGAACGTCTACCGGATTCCACTGGAGGCAGGGGATACAGAGTCTTAGTACATCATGTCCTCTGCTTGGGGATGCATTGATGTCTGGTGTTGATAAACCAGTTGGTGGAAAACAGCAGTAAGGGGTGCCATCAAGCTGGAGGAGGAGTCTGGTTGACTAGTAGGACACATAAATCATTTCATAATTACCATAGAACAAAATGTGCTGCAATTGGTGGTTGGGGTTAATCAGTCTGCCTGGAGAGGTGTTCCAGATATATCCCACCAAGAGGATGCTTACTGGGGGACCCAGGGCATACTGGAGATGGAATGTCTTTGCTGGTCCTATTGGAGCTTGAGGAGGTTTCTGGGCAGAGAAGGAAGTCTGGAAGTCTCCACTAAGTCTGCTGCCCCACAAATGGTTCTAAGATATTCAGGAAAAAACAAATATGGAGTCCTACTTCAAATTACAGAGTAACTTTTTATAAGGTAGATTATGTTTCTTTCAGTTTTTCTACCCCTTCATATCTTTGATTCACTGTCACAGCAATCAATGTCATAGCAATCAATGTTATTATAGTTGCTAACTGTAGAGACCTGCCTTGTGTGTATTTTCCTATAATAACAGATACTACTGGTGTGAAGGGAGAGAGTTTACTACATAGTCAGGGAAAGGCGGGACATAGAATTATGTTTTATCCTTTTTTAGCTCTGAATAAGTTTAGATATATGCATGTGTAAATGTTAGATTGTTCCAATGTTTTTCTTGAAGTCACGCTATTTTAAAACTTTTAAACCCTTACAGAGCTTCAAATTCAGCTTTAACAGAGCTGTCTTTGCAAACGCAGTGGATTATAAGTCCTGTTGAAACATAAAAAAAAAAGGCCAAAATTGAAAGATTGTATTTAAAGAATTTTGAACAAATGTAGAATCTTTAGCTCAGTTTTTTTTTTTTTTTTTTTTATATGTAATTCTAAGGTAGTTGTGATGCCAAAAAGTGGGAATTATCTTTATGGACTTTGAAAATTTGTTATAAAGCTGAATTAAAAAATTTATACCTGATATTATGTAAGAATGTTGCACTAATGTTGTTTTGTCTTCTTTCATTCTTACAGCTGGTTGGAAGTTAAGTCCTATGGTCGGAGCCATGTACAGTCCTGAGCTTTATACAGGTAAGATATCAAAAACTAAGTTTCCCTCACAAAGCACTACAACTATTCAGTGTAACTGCTATTAACGTAGCTTTTTGTATGCCTTAAAAAATGTCCAGGAATAACTGAATTTCTAAAAAAATACTCTCATCCAAAACTCTCATATTGATCACTACTAAAACTATAAAATATTGTAGAGGGTGACAATGTACTTTTGAACTAGGCTATAATTACAGTGAATTCATGGAGAAAACTTGATCTCAAAAGCGTGGATGTATCTAAAGCTTCAACTTTTCAAGCAGCAGCAAAAAAACAAAAACAAAAAAAAACAAAAGGTAATGAAAGTTTTGTGTAGTGAGGCTCAAAAGTAGTGGGATATTTGCAAACCAGGTAACTGATCTAAGAAAACGCCCATTAGCTCTACTTGCACCGATGCCATTTTTTTGGCCCCGATACCTGGCTGTGCAGAATCGACCAATACCATCTGTTTGAAATTGATGTGTGTATATATATATATTAGGGCTGGGCGATATAGAAAAAAAGCTTATCGATAAAAAAAATGCATATTGATCGATATCGATAATTATTGAAAAGATTTGAAACCATATTTTATGTGCAGCTCTGCCTGGACTTTTTATAATATTGCTAAATGATTTAATTTGAATAAAAAACACAAACACAGACTTCGAATTAAATCTTTATTTAACCAACTTTTTTAAGCATAACAGAATTGTTTTAAAGAAAAATAACTTAAGAGACCTGAGTTATGTTATTAAATACTGACAAAGAATAAACTAAAGTGACCAGAAAAGTGACCAAAATAAATATAACAAATAAATAAATTATTTTAAACTGTATTTTTCCACACTCTAGCAGATATTTAACTAAATGTACTTTTATTAACCCCAAGCTGACTCTAAAACACGGAATGTCTTTGTAAAATAATTAGGCGTTGCTAAATAGATCTGCAGAGACTGAAAACTATTAGCTTCCATTCTGTAAGGAATTGAATTCTAAAAGCAAATAATAATCAAGATACTTCTCTCTGTGGATAAGTCTATTGTTGTAAATAAAATGAAAGCTGTGTGTTTTTCTTTTTTTAACCTTGATCATCTCTCATCAGTTCCAGGGTTCCCGTACCCGGCTGCAGCCGCAGCAGCAGCCGCCGCTTCCACCGCAGCAACATTTCGAGGAACACATCTGCGGGGTCGAGCTCGGCCCGTCTACAGCGCAGTCAGGGCTGCTGTTCCACAGCCCGCCATCCCTGCATACCCTGGGTACATTTTTATATCCAGTCTACTGAAAAGCACAATTAGTGTTACATAAATAATGAGAAACAGTCCTAATACTGTAGATTGTCTTTAAAAGCATGGCTTCACTTATTGAGATAGTGATTCAAATTGTGCATGCTGTGTGTTTGAATAAAATTGTATTGAATAATGACATAAATGTTTGAGCGCAGCTAAAATACCATTTCCTTGTACCTTCACATGCAATGATGTGATGCAATAAAATCAAAGTGAGGATTGGTTGTTTTTGGTAAAGCATCAGTAGTAGCACCTTTAAGTCAGTGCATCTGTATACAAAGAGGTGGTATTTAGTCTTGCATGTTGCACGGTGTGTAATAATCTCACCCTTCTTTTCTCTTTTCTCTCTCTCACCATTTCTTTGGCACCGTTTTCTCACCTCCCCATCAACTCTTCTGTTTGTTATTTTCTGCTCTGTCCACACGGGGGCGCTTCACTCCATTACTTCTTTATTTTTCCCTCCCTTTGTTTTTGCTTTTTCCAAACACCACCCCTGTGTTCTCCCTACCTTCCCGTCCTCTCCCCCTGCTGTCGTCTGTCTCCCTCTCAGTGTGATGGCCTATCAGGATGGTTTTTACGGTGCAGCTGACCTCTATGTAAGTATGCCTGCCTCTCCTCCACTGCTTCACTCGTCACCTACATTTTCCTTTGCCTGCCTGTGGGTTTTCAAGTGTGAGTCGGCGCGGATCAAACCCATAGAGGCGTGTACTTTTGACAGTTTGTCATGACGCCTAAATCTGAAATTATAATTCTGTTTCACATCAAGTTTTTTGTTTTAGTTTTCCCCCTTAAAGCACTTTTTGTTTAATGATGCACCTGGTGATGCACAGGTTTTTCCTCCTCAGTGCAGCAGACAGTTCAAATCAGGCCCTTTAACAAGTAAACTCTTCTGGGGTTTGTTTCTGTGCATTTGTGGACTATGTTTTTACCAATGTGATCATGTGACGGTGTGTGAGAGAGACCAGGTTGACAATAGCTGTTTCTGTTCTCTCTGTAGACTAGTGTTTCAGGACATTAGTGGCAGATTGCCCCAGGTAGGGTTTACACACTCTGTGTGACGGCCAGTGTGCATCCTCCTCGTCTCCAATGACTGCGTGCTGCTAGACATTATTGACCATCTGAGATTGGATTGCCTTCTCTGTCTTCTTTTACTAACTCACTGGATTCTGACATGGGTGGAGTTACGGAAGGGGGAAGAAAAAAATTGGGCTGAAATTCCCAAAGAACAAAACGAATCCTCCAAGTGATAAATCATTTATGAATTGAAGTCCAGGAAGCAGGGGCGCCGTTACAGTAATGGACTCGGATCTTGCAGCATAACTTGATCATTTCACAAGAGTACATTTAAAGATGCCTTTGAGTGCTGAGTGCTCGTCTCATAACTACAAACTTCAATGTGTTTTATTGTTCACTGTTGTGAACTGGAGGGACGCTGATCTTTGGGTTTCAGATGTTTGTACAGTTGATAACCCAACATGTTTCCGAGGTATAATCCTGCCAAAAGTACTTTTACGATAATATTCTTGGCTAAATATTTCAAGCTCTGTTTGATTTGATGTAAAATATCTGATAAAATGTGTAACTTTGACAAGGCCATTCTAATTAAAGATGATCAGGGATCAGCTGATAATTACATGAAACTAATTTAATCTAAACCCACTCATATAGAGATTAAACAAGTTCCTGTCATATCACTGGTGTTTTTTCAATAAAATAGGTTTCAACTCAGATTTAGAAAATGATTTTCGTTTTTGAAACACTTGAGAAGATAAGTTATGAGTCCCTTTTGAAGATATTTCCCCATAGATAAAATGTAATGTAATCAAAGTCAGTCTGTCAGTAAGCAATTTTCTTCCTTTTAAGATGCAGAAATGAATACAAATCATACAATTATGAAGCTTTCCTTCACATTGTTGAAAGTCTGTGGGAAAATAAATGTAAAATACATTTTCAGTTACTTTACCGTCATCCCTTCTTTTTATAAATCTAAGCAGCACATCACAGTTTGAAAGGTTAATGACTGTGCAGTAGGTGCACCTTTACCTCTGAGGGTTTTTTTTCCAGGATCCCTCTGTATATCCCCTCAGCATGGTGCTACCACCACCATGTTTCACTGTGATAAAGAGTCTATGATGTCCTAATCTGATCAAATAGGATTCTCACTGCTCTTTTTCAATGTTGCTGTTTTCTTTTCCCACTTTGCCACTCAACAATATGAAATCTAAATTAAACTGTTACTGCGGTTTTATTTAGGAAAAATTAACTTTTGTTTTTCCATTTTTTTGCATTGATTAAAAACATTTTGAAGCCACTTCTCATTGTCCCTCTTCTTCACAATTACTGGCTGTCAGTTAATACTATACATCCAGATAAAAGACACTGAAGCTTGTCATGGAAAAGTGACTGTGTGAAAAAGCTCAAGGATAAAGATGCTTCTAAAGGCATCTTTATCCATTAGTTTCTTTAAAATATTGACTGGTTTCTAAATTGAGCAAAGCTCCCTCTGTCCACGAAAAGATGTTTGTTAAATTTGTTTATAATTAGCTTAGCCTTTTCTTTATACATAAAAAAAATCTTTGTGCAGAATTAGATAATCCCTCCTGTACATGCATGGATAACCTGACCTTTGAAATGTAACAGACTGACAGTTATGATTAAATGTTAACCGTGAAGCAGATTATGAAGTTATTTCACAATACGTGATACAATTGTTGGGTCCAGTACCAGTGAGTCAGAGCGTCAGATACATCCAGATGTCAATGAATTGGACTAATAAAAACTTTGACGGGACTGTCCTGTGAAATTAAGCATTTTATGATATAAGAAACAGTTTTTTCTTAAATGAAGGGAAACAAGCAGCCTCCATGTAGAAGCCTTGTTGTTCACAGAGAGGCAGTCAGAGGGATGCGGTGTAGGACACCCATATCCAACATGCAGTTGATTCAGACCCCTTCCAGGAATCTCCCTATCTGTTTCACCTGTGGCATGCTAACTGAATCAGTGTCAGCATGCAGATGTACTTACAAGGCTGACTCCCCTCCTCTCCCTCTGCTTTCCATCCTCTTAGCTCTCCTCTTTCCTTTTTTTCCTCCTCGTCCTCTTAGCTGCTTCTTTTCTTCCTCTAGCTTCTTTTATATCTCTCCTTTTCTGTTCTCTCCACCCTTTTCTCCACTCTGCTCTTTATTCCTCACCTCTTCTGTTCCCTATTAGTCCATTCCCGTCCCCATAGCAGCCAATGTGTGGTCCTGAATGCAGGGACTTGGTCATGACTGATTCTTTAGGGTAGAATGCAGTGGTGTGTCTTACTGTTTTTTTATTTTATTTCATAGGATGTTTTGATCTAATATGTGTTCTATGTTTGGGAAAGCATGCCGTGTCTGTCAATGACTGATTGCCGGCCACGTGAGAGTGCGTGTCTTTGCTCCTATTTTAATCTTTCTCCTTACACCTGTAGTTTTGTTTTTGTTAGTTTTTTTTGTTTTTTTGAGCGTCTGTTCATGCAAACATAAATAATGGCACAGTCACCTCGCCTCTCCTTTCCCTTTCTCTGACTGTGTGTTTGTGAAAGGGAATGGCGGTTGGGCACATTTATGGCTTTAAGGTCTCTCTCCCTCTCTGCTTAACACAGCGGGGAAAATGACACATGTCGAAGGCGGCAAACGGGCCCCAAAAAAAAAAGAAAATCGTCACACACAATTACAGCTATTTCTGCTGAGTTGGTCACGGAGTGAGAGAGAAACTCCGAGCCAGAGCTACATCCTTGTGAATGCTGTACTGCACCAGATTAGCCAGTTCTGCTGACTGTCTGCTTGTTAATATTTCGCTCTTCTCAGCAGTTTTCTCTCACAATGTAACCCTTTAGATTCACTACTAGACGTCTGCACTGCAGAAAAATAAAAGACAACGTAGCGAGCATTGAACAAATGTTTCACTTTTCCTCCTGTTCCTCCCACCTGTCCCTACATTGTCCCTCTATCTTCTTCTCACTCACTTTCACCCACTTTCCCTCCTCTTCATCACCTTCCCACAGGGCGGTTATGCAGCGTATTGTTATGCCCAGCCTACAGCCGTAGCGACCCCTGCAGCAGCAGCCGCTGCAGCAGCAGCATACAGTGACAGGTGAGGCGCTAGTTCAGATTGACTTCTTTAACCAGAGGTTCTTTTATATAAACATTGAAAGCTCAAACAAGGCCAAGAAAACATGGCTGTGTCCGAACGTACGCCCTAATCCCTATATAGGGCACTGCATAGTAGTTAAGTCATTTCAAATGAGCGTCCGATCGTCTAATGGATTAAAAAGTAGTGGACTCGAAATTTCCCACAGTAGAACTTGAAAAGTAGTGATGATCAATGGTCTAGACAAGCAGATATATCTTAGAATGCTTTGCTAACCTCTCCTCACAAAGCATTATGGGATTTGTTGTTACAGCAGCCTGCTGTTGCTACCCGACAGCGGCGATAAATAACAAAGATGGCGCAGGCACAGTGCGGGGAGGTGGAGTTAGGTGACTAACGGGGAACAAAAAGTATTGATCATCTGTCCAAACCTTCAATTAAATGAGTTTACTATATAGTCTCCGCTCTATATAGTGATTGAGGGATCTAGGGGCGATTGGCGACGTTTGGGCCTCTGAGACGGGACAATGAAAATCTGCTCACTCGTCTGATTGATTTTCTAGACTAATCTGTATTACAACTTTAAACTTTGTAAACCAAAATGTTGTCTTGATTTTATTTGCCGTGAAAAAAAGGAAAAAGTAGGACTTTCTATCCATGGTTTGGCAATTTAGTCACCATTTACAGTAATAAATATAGTTTGATTTAGTTGTTGAATATTAAACTAAAACTAAGTTACATTCTAGTAAAAAAAACTAAACAAAAAAAAGCAGGTTGAATCCACAAATATTAACATATCAAACAAAAACTCAGAATTATTTTATCTGTGTATCATTTTGCTAATTTTTTTTCAATTGGAAACAAATTGTTTCATAATATAGAAATAATTTAGAAAGACTTCAGATTTCGTTTGTGTGCGTGTAAATTTTTCCGCACTAAACTGAATATATATTAAAAAAACAAAACAAAGAGAGAATACATAACATTTATTGTTGTTTTGGGTTCTTTAAAAATACCTCAGCCTGCAAAATGCTGCTGGCTTTACTTAATAAAAAACAGCTGTTCAGATGCAAGATTTACTCTTCAATCCCAAATCCTGCCCCCAAAATCTCTATCAAATCAGTTAAATATTACAGTCAACAATAGATTTAAAAGCTAATATGTTTAATCAAACATCATTTTCCTTAAAAAAAATTTGCCGAAATGACCGTCTACAGCTGAAAGACGGCTACAGCTGCATGAAGAAATAATCCAACAGGGAGAGAAAAATGCTGAGGCCCAAATTATCCACCACATTTGGTAGTAAAGGTTTTGTCATTTTTTCAGTTTTGCGGGGCAGCCATTCTCATAAATGTAGTTTTATACATTGTTGTATTTACATCACAGGAAATAATATATATTTTTGTGTTTATGTAGTTTTATACATTGTTGTATTTACATCACAGGAAATAATATATATTTTTGTGTTTATTCACAGTTGAAAATAGGCAGAATGAAAAAATTTTATGTATAGGCCACTTATTTATTACCTGCCACTGTAGCAAGTACTGCTGTGATTTCTAAACTTATAAAATATAAACATTTTTCCAAACTGCTGATGAATGTTCTTAACTGGAGCCCCTTTATGATTCTTGTGTCTTTAATTTACTGTTTGTGCCTCATAAACTATTGTTAACTCAGGGTCCAAAGAAAGTTTGGAAAAATGTATTCATATGCTCGTTATCAGTATTTCTTCATATTTAAAGTAGTATGGGTGTGTTGACTTAAAAAAAGAAACGTTCTCCGGTTTTTGATATTTTATGAAACAAGATCAAAAGAAAAAACTGTTCTTGTATTTTCATAATTGCTTTCCAATTGAAAAATGAATTAGAAATATTCAGTTTGTTATAATAACGTTTTATTTATCCCTAAAATGTGATGTTTCTCTTAGCTATGGACGAGTTTACACGGCAGATCCCTACCACGCTGCACTGGCCCCAGCAGCATATGGTGTTGGAGCTATGGTAGGTTTTCATCTCTCTTTGGCAGAATAAAGGTATTTCTGAATGTTAGCTTACTGAGGTTAGAGAAAGAGCTTTATATCCTGCTTTGATGTCATATTTAAATGAAAAATACTTTGGTCAAAATCTATAAAAATGTACAACCTTCAGTTTTTAAGTGGCATGGTTCTTTTGTATGTTTACTGGAGGTAGTATTTTTTTCCAGTGCTGGTCAGAAACTTTAAATTTAAGAGTATACACATGAAAGAGCTTAATTTGGTTGATGGAAAGGTGTCTTTCCAAACTCTCAACACCACAATCAATTAGTGGAGCATCAAAAAAGCTGTGCAGCACTTATGAGGAGGGTTGGATTGATATAATGCTAAATTAGCATTTTTTGAAAGTTGGTTACTCCATTTGTATTTTACAATCTTCATAAAGAGGTTTCTCGTTTGCTATGAAGATTAAACTTCATGGTTGACTGAAACTCAGTTAACCTCTAAATCGGTCAGGTTTATGAATAATTGTAGGCGTAACTGTAGAAATCCTAACTAGGGCTGCAACTAACGATTATTTTGCAAATCAGTTAATCTGTCGATTATTTTTTTGATTAATCAATTAATAGCCAAAGGTTCCTTAAAGAAGAGTTTTTTTATGAAATTAAACCAGTGAAACTAAAACTTTTCCACTTGAGGAGTTCTGGATAGAGCGTATTGACAAGCTAAAATGTTGTTGTTTTTTTTATCTTAAATGCAAATTGTTTATATACATTTTATTAAAATTTGGATGTAATTGCAGCTCTAAGTGGGTCGCTCTGACAGCTAAAAGCATGTTTTGGAGTCTCTATACTCCAGTTCATGATTATTCTATTAGTTGACGATTATAATAATAATTGAATAATTACAATTAATCTGTTTAATTGTTTCAGCACTAATCAGAACCCAATCTAAAGGAAATCATCTGTTCTAACTCTGCAAATACATTCTTCCGGGATTCGTAATTTGAAGCTCCTTTCCTTGAAGCCCAGAATCTGTGTCCACAGTGCTTTAAAAGTTACTTCTCTTCTTTGAGGAACAAAAAAAGTAGAATGCCAAGATAGTGTGAAGAAGTATTCAAAGCAAAAGGTGGTTACTTTGAAGAACCTAGAATATAAGACGATAAGTATAGACCGTAATTCCAAAAGTTAAGTCATAGTTTTGATGCCTTCAGTGTAAATCTGAAATTTTCAGTCATGAAAATAAAGAAAACTCTTTGAAGTTGTGTCCAAACTTTTGTTCTGTACTGTACATAGACACATACACCTGTGACCCCAGTAGGGATAAGCGTGTCAGAAAATGTAAATATATATATATATATATATATATATATATATATATATATATATATATATATATATATTTATTCATTTAATGGGTTTTGCATAAAAGATTGGTTTGAAAATAATTAGTTTCTTGTTTACTGTAATTTTTGTTAGGATGCACCTCCTGACAAACCCAAATAATCTCCATGTTTTCCTTCTTGTTTTACAGGCCACGCTCTACAGGGGAGGATACAGTAGATTTGCCCCTTATTAAAAGACACTTCATGTCCCAGGACATCCCCTATCCCATTGAATTATTCCGAAAGAGCTCCCTCTGTTGTCCTGGAGGTGGACTGCGCCCTGTTTTTAAAGTGTGGAGTTGACCACTGCTAAGATATTTCAGATCCCGCCCCAGAGCAGTCCCACTTTTCTTATCTAAGCTTCTACAAAAATAGAGGAATGCTGTATTAAAGACTAAGGGTCGCCTTTACAATCAAAAAGAAAAAGAAAAAAAAAATCAGACTGTAAAATGGCCACCCTCTCTATTGCACGGCTGTATTATAGTCTCCCCCTGTTATTCCCTCGGCACTCAGCAGCACAAAATTAAGGGGCAGAGCCTAAGCGTTCTTCCAAAGGCTGTATGTGGATAATAAGACATCGGAGCAGCTGCCTTAGAAGGAGCCAGCGCGCCGGCTGGCCTGCACACACTCTGAGGAAAGTGAGAGGGAAGCAGACGGTGTTGAGAGGAGTAAGGTGCCTTCCAAGAGAGCACCAGAGAAAGATATGTTTGAGCCAGATTGATGAAAGCACCCAGCGGTGGATTTAAGAGTCCGTCCTCAACATGGTCAGATGGCGAAGGGACGAGTTCCCATCATGCCCGGCATCTTGGAGAAATGATGGAAAGCTGAACGAGGGGAGGGTTTATCGAAGCTGTTCCTTACCTCAAGATTCTCTTTGTATGTGGAAATGGTAAACCTTTAAACTTAAAAAAAAAATATGATATGCAAAGAAATTAGTTTAGAGAAAAAAAATTTACCAAATTATTATTATTATTATTATTATTGTTACTGTTGTAATTATTCTCATTCTTCTGAATATAAAAGCATTATTTTGTTTGAAACGGCTCCACCCATGTGTGGAGGTTCATCAGTAAAACTCGGGGTTAATATAGAGGGAAAAAAAATGCATCTATATTACGAACACTCCACTCTTCAGTAATATACCAACTATATCTCACATCTGCTCGGTCATGCACAGAATTTCACTACACAGTCCACGTGCTGCCATCACAAAACACTACAGTAAGTGCAACACTACACTGTAAACATGTTATCACATTTATATCCAGCTGGACATCATCTGCTTGCAGCCCGAGGGGTTGTTCAGGTATCTGGTGGTTTATTTGGTTGTCAAGCTCTTTGAATTAGATTTTCCCCTCATGTTTCATCTTTTCTAGAGTCCAGCAATGGATGAGTCTTCCTGTAACATTACTTTAGTTGGTGATCGCGTTTAAGATGCTGCCAACAGCAATTACTGAGCAACACAGAGATTCTGTCAGTAAGTTTATAGTATATATTTAAATGCAAAACACATAAATGTGCATATTTCTATACTATTGTATCCTATATTTCCAAAATCTTGCTTTTCTTTTGGCTTTCTTTTTTTGTTTTGTTCCAAAGATTTGTAGAAAGCACATTTTTCTGCCGTATAAATATATATATAAATATATTACCTGTTATTAACATGCTCTTATAGCCATCTTTATTTACGTTATATTTTTATTGTTTGAATTTATATATATATATATATATATATATATATATATATATATAAATTGTTGTTTGTTCTCACGTGAGGTGCAAATTTCAACCTTTATTTTTGGCTCAGATGAAACTACCTGAGCTGCGAGCATACATTGATAGTTTGTAGTTTGAAGGTCTGCAGGTAACGTCACCAAAGTGTTTTTTTATTATTTGCCTTCTTTTTTTTTTATCGGTCATAGGAAATGTTATCTTGACATGAAATGTTTCACAAAATACTAAAAGTGCTTGTTTTTATAGTTTCCGTGAGCCATTAGAATGAATGAGAATAGGTCTGTGGCACTTTCATTAAATCAGCTGTTTCTTTTTGTCTTTTACATCATTATCATTTTATTATTATTTTTTTTTTGCGTTTAATGAAGACTCCTCATCATTTCAGTGTATGGTCATATCAAAAGTACGAAGGTGTTGTTTCTCATGCTCACACAGGTAGATTTTATCTACGTTGTGTGAAATAGGACAGTTTATTTCCTGCTTTCCTTTGCTTTGTCCTTTAATTTTATTTTCCTCCCACATTTTTGACTTTTGAAAAAAATGTTGCATATTGAAATGTTTTTTGTTTGTTTTTTTCCATTAACCATTTCTGTTAATATTTTAAAATATGGACTTGATCATGAAAAAAGGCAGCAGCCAAAAATGTTAAGTTCCCAGCATGTTCTGGTTCCCAATTTGAAAAGTGCTAGAAAAAAACAAAAACAAAAAAAACATGAAGATTGTCTTTTGGAGCCAACAATGGCATGGACAAACCAGCATGAGTGATAGCTGTCATGTAAAAAAAAAAAAAAAAATGTAAAAAAGAAAAAAAAAGTTTTGCATGAACCTTGTGAGTTTTCATATTTGACTCCTGCAGCTAATGGCCGCAGCACCCTTCATCACCACTAAACTTCCTAACGGGCAGCTAGCGGTTGGAATCTAGCTGACAATGAAATAGCACAGAGCTGTTGGCAAAAAAAAAAAAAAAAAACGCCGCCTGACAAACAAAATGGCTGCTGAAAAAGGGTGGATTTTGCAGCTTCATTTTTCTGTCATGGCTTCCTTGGCCCTGTATTATAGAACACTATGTGGTTCTTCTTCATAGTTGCTATGGTTTCTCAATGAACCGTCCCTTTGTCCCATCTGTATCCCTTTGAACGCCTTTGTTTTTTTTGTTGTTTTTTTTTTGTTTTTGTTATTGAATGTCCATATAAAAATGTTTTATATAAAATGTTTTGTTGTGGATAAGCCTCCTGTTTTTCCTTCTGTCATTAACTGCAGTTACCAAAGGAGCGCACTTTTACTCTTAACTTCTTAAGCTATTTTGATAAATACGAACCGGTTAAGAATCAAATAAGGATTTGTCTATTTGCTACTTCTTTATTTTATATTATTAGTTTTTTTTGTCACCTGATTTTTCATAGAGTTCGAAAAAGGAGCCTTTTGGACGAGAAAGTTGTTCAAATATTGTTTAATAATCTACTGCAAGGAAGGTTAGCTATAAGAGTACAATTGGTGTTCCTCAGCAGGAGCTCAGAATCATCCGGCAAATCATACTTGAGATTTGAGCAGTTCATGTACGCCTATAATTGGAAAAGTACTGGTATTCCTTTTATCATTAAAGAAATGCATTCAGCATGGTTGTAATGTATAAGTATGGAAGAAGTTGGGACAAAAAGGACATGTTAAATCAAGGTGATGTATTGCAAAACCTTTTATTGAAATAAGATTTTGTGTCTTCAGAATATGAATAAAAGATAGTCCTTTGATTTAAAATATGTTGATGCCACTCTTAACTTGTAACAACCATCTCATATTATATACAATCTCTTCAATCTAAATGTTATTTTTACAGCAGGGGACAAAACATCTCGCCTGGGCAGTCAGCCCAACAATTGTTCCTAACGACCCTCTTACAGAGGCATAGACCAGTATCGAGTATTGTAGGCTTGCAAAGTTCCCAAAGGACTCTCCATTCCTAATGGGTGGACCCATTCTTCTTGTTCAATTTGCATGTTTTCTAATCCAAAACAAGTTTTTTTGACCACTCTATAAAGCCTCCAAGTCGATGCTTATTCTGACATTTTTAATAAAAAAAGCTTCCTGGACGGGAAGCGAAATGTCTCCAAACTTGAAAACAAATTCCAATGGATTGTATTTTTTTTTTTTTTTACTTTTTTGGAATGACTATGACCTGGATGACTGGGAATCTTCACCAGCACACAGAATAAGTTAAGAAATCAATCAAGATTGTATACATCATTGTAAAATATGTCTTGATCATGATTAAAAAAGAAAAATTAGGTCTTTAAATTTCATGTTAATGACTTCCAATATTTTCTTTTAAGTGATAGCTTTAAGACGAATCAAGCCTGTGGTGATGCATTGTCTACTTACAATGAACTAAGAAATATTCAGTCGTTTATTTTATCTATCTTGAACTTTTTTCCTTTTCTTCAAACTGTTGCTTTCTCCATCAGTTTGTGATTGAAGGAGAAATAATCCCTTCTCCCTTGTTGAATCAGGGTTTCTGCAGGTCATTAAAAATCATGAAAAGTCATTAAATTATTATTTTTTAAATGAAGGCCTTAATTGGCATTAAAATGCATTAAATTTGATAATCGTGGCATTAAAATATTTCTGAAAAGTAGCTTTAGGTGGAGAAAAGGCTAGAGAATGGGGAAAATGCAAATTTGAACCAAAGTGGCGGGAAAACTTAGCTTTGTGAGACCATCCTGATCTCGTGAGCTTTCAAGGTTTCACTCGTTGATTAGTCTGGAGACTCTCCGTTGAAGAAAATTTGGAGCCGTTCACCAAACGAACGTCCAATCAGCGTTGGCTTTGAGGCGGGTTGAGGTGTGACGCAACGAGAAGCGC